TCCTAATATCGGTGATAAGACCAAACATTTTTCAAGATTTCAACTGCGCTGCATCCTTTGCAAAACCTACCCCTCCTACTACACAGACCTTGGAGCGGCTTTCCATCTAGGTCGCATTCGGAGGAACAATGACGTCATCTGGACCAGCTATAGAGTGTAGTCTCAACCTTTGATTGATGAATATGTCCAGTGTTTCTAGTGCAGCATATTTCCAGACCAAACATTCCTTGCAGATCAAACATCCAGTCCAAATCAGCCAGCGCGACAAAATTTCGACGATGTGTTCCGGGTGACAAAAAAATTCAAGTCAGCATGCATTTTCACGAAATTTTTGCCACGTCCAAGATCTCTGGAAGATGACAATTTAGAGAGGGCCTGAAATCCGGCACAGTACGGGAACGAAACTTACCAGAGGTGTTCTGATAACCAGTTATGCGCACAACGTTTGGCAAAGGGCTGGTGGATCTCCCTTTCAGTTTCTTTGCTATACATGAGTCAGTCCCAACGGGATTGTGGATAATGAACAACGAGAAGGAAAAGAAAGTCTCCGAGACAAGCGAGCATGTAGAACGGCGATGAGGGGTGATGGATCAACGAGCGGACGAACCAGCGTTTGTCCAACTGCAAATTTTACAGCATCTTCGTCCAGCGCCTTGTGAGTTCGATAACTACACCCTGGTCCACAAAAAGCAAAGGCATAATAGGAGAGGGATACACGATGACCTATCAGAGTATAGGAGTGCCCAAAGTGTACGGGGAAGCTACTAAATTTTGGCGCATGGTTTATTGAGCATATTTTTGAAAAGAAAAGCTATTACATCTTCAGAAGTTTATTTTTATATACATAAAACATGGCAATCATTACTAAAGAAAGTGCTCGAGATGGCCTCCTTCGGTAGCGATACAGGCTTCAAGTCTCTTCTCAACTGACATCACTGTGGGCCGCAAGTAGCTGACGTCAAGCTCCTTCCACGCCTCCTCCAAGGAAGCCTTCAGGGAGTCCAAACTTCGACGTTGCTCAGAAGGCATCTTCTGCTTGCAAGAAGCCCACACCGCCAAATCAATTGGGTTCAAATCGGGCGAGTTAGATGGCCAAACATCTTGTGACCAGTAACCTGGAAAATGACGGTCACAGAACTCCAGCGTAGATTTTGCGGCATGTACAGGCGCCCATTCTTGCTGAAGAATGCAGTGACGTTCGCTGCAAGGTCGAAACAGTCCATGGAAGGAGCACATCACGTAAAATTGTTTCCTGGTAGATCTGGGCGTTAATTTTGACGGATTTGTCCACAAAGACAAGCGGTGTCTCGGTTTCAGAAGTAATTCCTGCCCAAATCATGACAGATTTGGAAATCGGCTCCTTGTGTGCACACAACGTCGAGCAGAATGTCTGCTAGCCGGATCCAACAATTGCCTGTCGTTTTGAAAATTGTGCGCCACTTGCAGTGTGAAGATTTCAAAAAGCAACATACCTTCGAAAACCACCCTTTATAACTAAGATGATATGGTGCGAAGCAAAGGTGGTGCATGGCAAGAAGAAGGCTGTGGGGACGTCACGTATTAGTCGAAGTATTCAAAGATACGGGATAAAGAACACAAATTTGGAGATTACAGACAAAAGGTCGAGAGATCAAGAGCAATAAGACGTCATAATTGAGAACTCCGAAAAGAGCTTTTTGTGACGGCACATCAAGCACCGAATGAAGCCTTCTCGCTCACAACATTTGTATCCGAGTACGCGAGTTTGAATGCGTTAAGGTCCTCTTCGATTTTTGAATTGCTTACTAAAATGAACGCATTTTTTCACTCTTCTAAAGCATTGCGGTAAACCTATTAAGCATTGCAGTCGAGCTAACAAACAGATAAGTTACTTTATTGGAGTCTCAGAAAGTGTCCCGCGCGCAATGAGGCTCAGTGTTAAAGAATCCAGTACCTCTGGCAAAATGCAATGAAATCGAATAGAAGCACGCATACAACTCAGTTTTCGATCGGTTAGTTGATGGAAGAAACAAAAATACCATCGTCATTGAACGTTAATCACTGTTGATGCCTTACGTAAGTGATCGTCTTCGCATTTCACATGCCATTGCGCGAGCGCTATTGTGAACTTCGCTTCCGAATGATTTTTATCCACTCTGTCAGACAAGTCACAATACGTGCCTTCACCGAATTCTCGTTTAAAAGGTTGTTTTTGGAGGAAGATTGGTCTACGGTAACTAAGAGACCCATGATAATTTTCGGAGCGCTTTTTGAGCTTGCCTAATGGGCAAACAACATTGCGAATACCAGTTGGAGAAGTCTGAAAAAGTGGTTTTCGCCGAAATGGCGAATCTTCCGACGTATGGCCCATATAAGCGTTACCCTTTGTTCAGCATTCAGTCATCCATCACTTCTCAGGCGTCAATTTCTTTCCCTTTTGTTTCACCTTGCCAGCTAATCGAAGTTTCTCAACGATAACTTGCCACATAATTCGATATCAACGGCTTTCCAAAACGAAAATAGTCTACTCGTTGAAGTTCTGGGCAAACCCCACAAGCAATTTTCTTATCTCATCGCAGTGAGATTTTTCCACGAATTTAGATCTCTTTCGAACTTCGTCATTATATTACTTCCACATTCGGAGATTTATTTGTTGAAAGGCTCCACCTAAAAGGAGAGCCTTATGTCGCCCGACTTTGATGATGTGTTTCCTTATAAGCGCCCTGAAATCGGCCTTCCCAAACTGCTAACGATTTCTTGAACGGAGTCACGAAGCCGAAGGGCGCAGCGGTAGTGGCCAAACTCTCAAGCGAGGACCGTGGGATCGGTTCCCAAGCGATTTAATTTCTTGCTTCTGCCGTGAAGGTTACTAAAAATCTTTATTTGTTGTTTCATCATGCTTGCCTATCGAACCACATAGTAAGTTCATGACGAAGACTGAACTCCATGGCTGCTTATAATCATGCTCAAATATGCTCAACCTCCATCGTTTAGGTTTACTCGCTCTACAGGTAGAAATAGGGGTGTAAAATTATTTTAAGAAACTCGAGCAACGAACTAGGCCAGTAAAGGGACCGATGCACGAGAACTTGCCCAAGAGCCCACACCATCACCGTTGCGCTTGCTTCATAGTTCCATTCGGAGAACCTTTTACTAGAGATGAAAGGTATGTTTGGAGTCACATTCCCCCCCCCCCTAATATATAGTTGAGGATATTGAGTTCCAACTAGAAAGATACAGGCGAGAATAGCATCTTAACAAAAACAGCACATACAGCGGTCTACAGAAAGTACCTCGTGTCCTCTGCATGCTATATGATAGCGAATTCTTAGTGGTACGTACGGGAAAGGCTTTTACATCGTCCACTCCGGGTATTGGCCAGATGCCAAATTATCACTGCTCCATCCAGTTTTTTCACATAGTCGTGCTTGCGAACTGTTATCACTTTTGCAGCGCCTGCAGATGATGAGATGCAGATGTAGATGAAAGATGGTCATCCCTGCTCCTTCTAGCCCCCTTTCCAACGTCGTGCGAGGGTTTTCGTTGAAAACATGCGTTCACTGAAGGTAACAGCACCGCTGTAGCAAATTCGAGCTTTTGTCGAAACAATGGTAATCTCATAACCTGTTATTCAGTCGTTCTTGCGATTCCGTCAGCAAAAGCGAAACCTTGAAACCCCGAAGCCGCTGCTCCCCTTCTATACGTTCGTACTTATAGTATGTCGATTAATAAGAGGACGTTTTCTCTGAGGAGTGGTTCAGTGGCAAGTAGCGCTGCTTACCATGCGCGCTGCCTAGGAATTAAATCCTGGGTCGTGCGTCGTCCAGGAAAATCAAGCCTTCCATGGCTTCTGAGTCGGTCAGTTGGTGTCAGAATTGTGCGATAAAAAACTTGCCCACATCGGCAGTCCTCTTGAAATTCCTTGTGTAGGAAACATCGCACACACATTGCGACTGCTAATCGGAATGGAGGAGGAGTGCGTGGCGCATCCCAAAACGAGATTTTTCAGTACCCTTCATTGGTCGTCGTTCTGGGCATTACGCTAGAACTGTAGAGCCAGTTAGAAGGTGGAAAACGAAAGCTGATAGATAAAGTGTGCGCATCATTGTAGCCTTGAGAAAGAACAATGGCATGTTTCTGTTCTCGAGGCCTGGTCCTTTGTTGCCCCACCAGCTTAACAAAAGGTATATTGCGCTGAGGCGTACGATCACTTCAATTACAACTGCAATCCAGCACGACAATTCAACTCCTAAACCTGTATTCTGCCACCGAGTGCTAACAATGCTTTCCGACGAAGCGAAGTCATGCTCCAGTTTTTTTTTTTCGACAATCTCGTAGACACAATTCATGATCAAGTAGGTGCGTTTTCCCATTCGAAAAGAAAAATAGAGGTAAGAAGTAGAACCTGAAAAGAGGACAGTCAAAACAGTAAACACTGGAGCGTAATAACTGGAGATAAAGACTGCCTCTCTCCCGGCTGTGATGAACTAATGATTCAGGAAGCGATATAAGAGATAGTAGGCACGGAGGAGGTAGAAAGGACACGGAGGCGGGGAGCCATGGCAACTGAGAGATACAAATAGATTTTGCAACAGCGTGCATGCATGAGGGGTTAATTTTGCACGTTCCAAAGCCCTATCAATGACATGTCAGTGCTGACCAGCTAAATGTCACACCTCTGCCCCCCCCCCCCCCCCCCCCCCGGCCCCCCCCCCCCCCCCCCCGTTACAGAGTATGGCAGGCCTATGTACAGTCGTAGCGCGGCGCCCGCCGCCGGGCGCGGGGGCGGCCCGCCTAGTGTCTTCAAGTAGCGAGCAATTTTGCTTTCTATCTGTGCTGATCCATGGTTCTGTGCACTCCGTTTCAACATGCTTTTCCTATGCGCTTTTTTTGTGTTCGAAATAAAGAACAATTAGTAGTAATTTCCAAGCGCTCTTATCTCGGTATCACCATCATCACCCTCATTGCTATCCTTCTATTTTATAAAGCGCTAACTTTGTGTGTCGGTTTGTATGTCTGTATGTGTGTGTATGTATGTATGTGTGTCCGTCCGCAAAATGAAGTGGTAGGGAAACTCGTGAAGTAAACAGACCGTTAACAAAATCGAGTAACTATGACTTTAGCAATCAATGTTTTGCAGTGCTATCAATGTGATAACA